TTTCCTTGGGTGTATTGCCTAAAAAGAAAATTTCTAAGGATCTGAGGGATTTGTGGAAAAAGTTTTTTTTTTTTTATATTTTTAAATGTTTTTTACTAATTATTGATGTTTGTTCTTATTTTATTTCTTTAATTAAATTAATATGTATTTTAAGTTCAATAAAATCAATAAAATTTAAGTAACAAGTTTTCAGATAATAAAAAAATAGCATTTATTTAATCTGAAATTTTTTTATTTCCATTATTCTAATTATATCAAATTTTAGTAACTTTTATATTAATTTGGTTAAATTTTATAATAATAAATTTTTTGGATTTAATATAAAAATTTTTGAAAAATAAATATTAAATAGATAATATAACTAAAAAATTAAATCAAAATAAATAAGTTTTTCAAATAATTAGAAAAATATATATTTTAATAGAATATTTTTTATTGAGAAAAAAAATTTTTTAAGAAATAAATTTTTGAAAAAAATTAAATAAAAAAACTTTTTTTTTTATTTTTTCTTTTGTTATACATTTATTTATTCTTTGATACATTTTTTTTATAATTTTTTATATTTTAGTGATTTGATAAAATATGTGATAATGACAACTTGCTAATTGTAATATATACTGTAAATTAGATGAATTTATATTTCAAGTTTATTATGAAGCAAAATATTATTCCCAAGATCAGATTTTAAAGACTTAATTTGATAAAAATATTTTTAAAGAATAAAATTAATATGTTTTTTGATTTTTTTTTGATTTTTTTTTTTTTTTTTTTGTTAAACCATTTAATTATCTATTGTAATGTTCTTCGATTTTTTATATTTTCTTTAAAATAATAAACTTAAAAATGGTATTAAAAATTGTTACTATTTTCTTTTCAAACTTGCATAAGATTTTATCATCATTATTTTTTAATTATTAAAGAGTTATAATGATTAGAACAAATAGTAAATTGTATTTTATATAATATTTGATATACAGTAATGTCAATAACAATTTTAACGATTTTCGTCTCTCTATTATTTTATTTTATTTACTATTAATGATTGTGTCTGACAGATAGTTTGTGCGAGAAAGTAACACTACACTATGCCGATTTGTCATAAGGCTATCGAATATCGTATAGAGTATCAAAAGGAAGATGTAATGCATGAAATACACGGTTTTTGGCTTACTCAGCTTCGAATGACATGCGCAAACTTTTTGTGCTCAATAGACTTTTCCACATCTTCGAATCAGAATAAATTATTTATTCACCTTTGACTTTATATAATCAAGCATATTCTCATGTGCGAATATCATTGCTTAATAGAGAACGGTTCGAAGCCATCTTATTGTCTTCACGCGAGTCAGATACAGATGCGAATTAAATTTCCTTTGCAGAATAGAGGTCGTATCATCATAACAAATCCTGTTGTCCTAATGAAATTTGGTGCCAAGGGCTTACATACAAAAAGGGACCGTGCGCACAGTTTGGAACGGCCTGGTTGGGTTCTTTTTTTTTCTTTTTTTATTTATTTATTAATTATTAAAGCAAACGAAGAATGCAAAAGAGGAAACAACGATACAGTATATAAACCATTGAACGGCCAATAGGAGATGCCAAATTAATTTAACGGCGTCCTTTAATAATCTAAAAAAAATTGCATTACAATATACGATTGAAAATTCTACGTTCGTTATTATCATTGTTCCCCATCCTCAGTTCTTGGAGCGTATGTCGGCGATAGGAAGTGGTGCCACTGGGTTCATTTCATCCAATTCCTATCCTAACAAAGATCCAGTGGTGAACTTCATCGACTCATTTGACTGGTCATCAACTGCTCTGGGTCCAATGAATTTGTGGTCTCCTTCTATGAGAGCAACGGTGGTATGTTTTGATATACGCTGATTCATGAGAGTTTAATAACGCGCGTAAATTTTGTTCTTAATTCCTCATTCCGTACATGACAGGAACTATGTCTGAACACCGAATTTCCCTCTGCGGTATACCAAGGGCCCGAGCTGATTTTTATATGCAATCAAGGTAATCTGGGTTCGATGCTCACGTGACTTCTCATGACCTGATCAGAGAACCTTTTATCCCTCACTTAGCGTGGAAAACCATATTAAAATCGAAAGATCCGATAGGTAATTGACCCATTTTAAAATGGTTATTAAGATCCTTGTTGGATCGCCGATCTAACGATCCATTAATTAGGTCTTCCTGTCGATAAAGTCCCTTCAGGAGTTCATCTCCTTTTACAACCGTTGTTAGAAGAGTAGGTTGCTTATTCTTTCTTCGTCTTTACAACCTAAAAATTTATTTATAACTTTATAAATTAGGGTTCTTTCCACCGGCAAAAATCAGTTTAGCAACGATACTCCCCTACTTGTGCGGCGAGAAGATGGCATCATAGAATGCTACCTCTCATTTACCTTGAGTCCTATATTTAAAGAGGACAGAACTGTAGGTGGTGTGATTGTTATTGCCCAGGAAACGACTCAACAAGTTTTAGCTACCAGAGAGCTAAAAACTTTAAGGAAACTAGGAAGTCAAGCGTTTGGTATGCATCATTACTTCTTTAACCTTTTTCCACAGGTTAAAGCATTTTTCTGATTTTACCTACGGTCACACAATTTAGACGCAAAATCGTTGGAGAGCGCTTGTCATCTTATAACTTCTACCTTACGTGATAATAACGACATCACTTTTGCCCTAGTCTATATTGTCGATGATCAGCCGGATGCATATGGTAAAATTGCGCGTCTGATGGCCACAACTTTCGATGAAGACATTAAAACGGTGAAAAACGATAATACGATTAGTGAGTTGGCCTTCATTGAAGGAGAGTCAAAAAGAGAATTACCAGATTATCTATTAGAAACTTGTAATGTGATAACTCTCGGCGGCTTTAACGCAAATGAAATAAATAATGACGTATCTAGGGTATCATCTGAATTGGACGCGAATTATTTTAAACTATCCTCATGGCCAATTGGTCAGGTGGCAAGATCAAATTCCCATTTGTTCGTTACTCTGAAAAACGGTTCTCGGGCAATCCTTTTACCGGTTTACACGTCTCCGGTGGGAGAGGCAACATTAACTGCCTTAATCATCTGTGGCCTCAATCAACGTCGCCCTCTTGATCAAGAATACTTGACATTTCTGCAGGTTCGTATTGTGAATGATTTTCAGTGTAATTTCCCACTCGCTTTACCGATACCCTGTCGACTGATTGAATTTAACTTATGATTGTAACACGTCAAGCTTGTCACCAACCAAGTAGGTTTAAGCTTAACACACGGTATATTGCGTGAAGAGGTCGAAATTTTTGAAGATTTAGATCACAAAAAGAAGTCATTTTTTCAGAATATCAGTCATGAGTTGAGAAGTGCGTGTTAGTGTGTTATAAAATGTATTGTTGGCAGCTAGCTAAATTACTTTCGCTCGATCCGCAGCGCCGTTAACATTAATGCTTTCACCGCTTGAGGAAATAATCAACGCTCGTCCTCCAGAATCACCTAGTCACTCCAATTTACAGATGCTTAACCGCAATGCCTGTCGGCTGCTTAAATTAGTGAATAATTTATTGCCGGTTAACGTTTAATAAAAACCAATTCTTTTTGCAGACATACATTCTCACCCTTCCGTCTCTAGTTTTCACAGATCGATGTGGGCGAATTGGAGCCTCTATTCAAGGAGACCGATATCGTAAAATGTACCCTTGAACTAGTTTCGAGTTTCGAAAATGCGGCAAAATTATTAAAACTGGATTATCTCATTGAGATTCCGAGTCACGAGGAACTTTACGGTAGATTGAAATCCAAAGTATTTATAGACAGGGGAATGTATGAAAGGATTTTGCTTAATTTATGTAAGTGTTCCAGAATCATTGAGAGGCTTATCCTAGGATATCTTAATCACCACCATTGCCGACATCATTATCAGTTTCAAACACGTTTAACCACACCTGGACCGGCGGTGTGGCAGTCCGTCTCTATCCAGATTACCAAAACGGAAGGGAGGCGATCATATTAGAGATCTCAGACACGGGTACAGTATTTTTTTTTTTTTTTTTTTTTTTTTTTTTAATATCAATTTTAAAACCATTTATGTCATAGTCATATCTTTATTTATTTATTTTTTTAAAAAAAAGGCACCGAAATTCCCGAAGATGACATCCCGAGTTTATTTCAACGCTTTTATCGCGTCAAGTCAAGGCAATCTCGGTACCGCAAAGGTGTCGGCACAGGTCTTGCATTTATAAAGGAATTGGTGGCAAAACACGGTGGTGAAATCCTTGTGTACCCCGAGGTGAAAAGGGGAACCACCTTTCGTTTATCATTTCCAACCGGTTGGGAGCATCTGCCCAGAAAACAAGTTCATTTCGCGAGTGACAATGAGTTTGATGTAAACGAACATTTATTTTACCATCGGAATTTCTATGAGGAATCAAAACGATCGATACAAACTGATCTCGACTGTTCTGCCGATATCTCTTCGACCAATAATGAGAAAGAGGATGCCATGAACCTGGATTGTTTAGACTCATTAACGCAAACTCATCAGAATGCTAGACATCGGCACTCTTTTTCTCACTCCCTATGCAATTATCCATCTTCCGTTGATAAAGTTCGTCACCGTGTCCTTATCGTTAATGAAGATGACGACATGAGGTATAATTCTCTAATGCAGAATTTTTATTACGCCTCCTAATTAAAATATGCTTCGACTAAAAGAACAATTACCTGTGTTCATGTCATTTAAGAAATCACCTCTTTGGTCTACTGCGTAGTGAATTCGAGGTGTACAGTGCTCGTGACGGGCATGACGCCTTAACGACGTTAAAGAATCTTCCGAAGCTACCCGACTCGATCCTGAGCGGTGAGGAATATATTTATGTTCATAAAACATCCCAAGTTGTATCTAACATTTCGATAGACATCAAGGTACCAAATGTGAATGTCCTAAATACTCTCAGGTCAGATCCGGAAACTCGGTTTATCCCCGTGATCTCATTGTCTGTGGGTGAGAGTGCCAGCGTAGAAGGTAAATATTTCTAGTTAAAATTTTCACCTACACGACTTCTCCTGTCATTTACAGGTTCTACGTTTTTCTACCTTCAATATTAGAAGAAGAGGTCGATGACTATTTGATAAAACCATTTTGTGCTATGGAGTTGATTATTCGGATCAGGGCCAATATTAAGCTCTCGCGGGTTCGCCGGAAATATTCATTGCAACAAAAATGGCAGTCTGAGACCAGAGAACTAATATCCTCCATAAGTCATAAAATTCGCTCTGGATTTAATGTAGAAGAAGTAACCACCTCGGCCGTTAAGCAAATTCATGGAATATTACCCAGCGATAGGGTGCTTGTTATTTACACCAATTCTGACAATTACGAGGATTTTCATATAATGGCTTTATCGTCTACCGATCCAAATGAACATGACCTTGTGGGAAGGCGGGTAGATACCGTGGTCGGAGAGAAAGACGTAGATCCTACCAACATTCATATGGAATCAATTACGGAGGTATATCAGAGGCTTCGATTTTCCGACAGTACCATCATGATAGCCACGAATACCTATTCCAGATTGGTTGGATGTTACGTTTCTTTGATCTTCATGCCGATTAAAACAAACTCTTCAAATTGGGGATGGTTATTTGCTTATAGGCCGCCGAATAGCATTTGGTCAGATTCTGAGAAAGAATTCATCGAACAATGCTCGATTCAAATGGGTTTGGCGATTACGCACGCAATGCTCGTGGAAGAAAAGCAGAAAAAAGAAGCTCAAATGGAGGCCGCGAAAGCGGCTAATGAAGCTAAAATACAAATTTTAGCCAACACCTCACACGGTAATTCGCCCTTAAACTCATTTGTTTCCTTTTATCATTTTTGGTTTTAGTTAACGAAATTGCGACGCATATAATTCGGCAATAACGATAGAACTCCGGACGCCTTGAGGGGCAATTATAGGTGTATTGTCGGCATTTGAAAATACTCCGTTGACCAAGGATCAAAAAGAAATGGTTCACATAATGATGCGTGCATCCGACGTCGTTCTTGCGGTGGTTAACGACATTCTCGACGCCGCAAAGCTTGAGGCGCAAAAGATAATGCTGGTAGATAAAAAGTTTGACCTACTTCACTTGGTCGAGGAGACCCTTGATATGCTCGGGGAAAGGGCCGGAAATAAGAAGATTGAACTGATTTTATGTTGGGATCATACTTTACCCAGATACGTAAAATCAGATCCTTATAGGTACGTGACGAGCGTTGCACGCGAACAGATAAGAATGAGAATTAACAACGCGACACCTTAAATTAGGTTGCAGCAAATATTAATAAATTTTCTTTCGAATTCGTAAGTTAAAAAATTTTTATCATCATTTCTTTAATCTCATCAATAAATAATACTAAACCATCACCGAAATTTATTATTATTATTTTGTTTTCACTCCAAGTACAAAATTTACGATGGTTGGAGAGATAGTCCTCAATATTTCGATGACTTCTGACGATGAGAACAGAAAGGAAGCGTTGCTCGTGGAACTGATCGACACCGGAATTGGGTAAATTATCTCGTTGAAATCGAGGATTTGGAACAAAAAATGTTACGCATATCTCACCCCTCTGTTTGCCCTAATTTCCTATTTATTTCAGAATAGACCCTAAATTTATAACACATATATGGGATAGCTTTTCACAAGAGGATGCATCAGCAACGAGACCTCACGGTGGCACGGGATTGGGGCTTTCAATTTGTAAAAATTTAGTAACCATAAACGGAGGAAAGCTGGGTGTCACAAGCGAGTTGGGAAAAGGAAGTCGGTTTTGGTTCACCTGGAATGTTGGGCCAGTTTTTCAAGTACAACCGGTGGAAAATATTCAGTCGCTTTCCACATTCTTATCAGATAAACGAATTCTTGTTATTGATCCTGTTACCACGGCTCGTAACAGCTTGGTTAGACTTATCAATAATGAAAGGACTGACGCGTTTGACACGGCCAAAGAGGGTACCGCCTCCGCGAAAATGCTAAGAGAACGGCATAACGAACAGTATGATCTTGTATTCTTCAATGTCCTCGAAGACAATGTACAAGAGGTTATAAAGGCTGCAAAAGAATTAAGAGAAATATGCGGAAATGATAATTTACTCATCATATTAATGGTCTTTTGGTCAGCCGAAGGACACGTGATGGGACAGGAAGTAATGAAAGAGATTGGAGATCAAGTTATCACGATGCGTAAACCAATAACGCAAAAGCGAATACTAAATTATTTACTTAATAGAGAAATTTCTAAACCCCATAATAGTGTTGAATCGCCGGCGGATTTGAGTGCAGAGGTATACCATGACCGTAACGATTCACAGTCCAACTCAAATGATGCTGAAGACGTCAATATGTTAATTGATGAAAAATCATCATCTAACGATCAAAAATCGGCAAGGAAACCGAATTTAAAAAGAACGACCCCTGTGGTTGACGAGGACCGCAAGTTAAAATCGCGAACTCGTCTTACTTCAAAGTCAAAATGCATACTGTGTGTTGTAAGTTGACTATTTAAAATTACATCTAAATCTCGTGCAATATAATTAACTACATTCTGAATATCTATAGGAAGATAACCCCATTAACTTAAGAGTCATACAACATCAACTCACGAGACTCGGATATCAATCTTTATCCGCGACAAACGGACAAGAAGCCGTAAATCTATTGGCCGAGCTCGCCAATTATTTAGACGACCCAAACTCTCCTTCAAACCATCGCGCCGAAATCTCCTTAATCTTGATGGATTGTGCGATGGTTAGTAACATATCCAGTGTGTTTGCATCCGGTTTGTGCATTATTTATCTAACCTTCACCATTATAGCCAATAATGTCGGGGCACGAGGCTTCAAAAATAATAAGGGCGATGAAACCTCCCATATCACAAATACCAATAATTGCTCTGACGGCCGAGGCTGTTCTGGGTTCAAAAGAAAAATGTCTTGAATCAGGGATGAGCGATTACCTTACCAAACCGTTAAAGATGGAACAGCTTGAAGAAATGTTGCTTAAATGGTTAAACGATTGATTCGCTAATTCGATTACATTATTCTATGATTGTTTCATTATGCATCCATGTTCCGTGGGCAATTATTACTATCACGACTTCTATGTTTTGCTTATCCTTTTACAAATCAGCAGTTTTTTTACGTTCAGCTATGATACCCTAAGCTTTCATCCGATATATATATATATTCTATTGGTTTATTTTAAGACTTATTAGCCCACTAATCGAAATTTTCAAAACCTCGTTTCTTTAACAAAGGAAAACAATATTCTAGGATTTCTTCTTACAACAGTTGTTACAACGATCCTTAATCATCAAGCAGTTTAATTTTACTTGAGATTGCTAAAAATAAAAGTACATATGCAGTATAATAAAGAATAATAACGGATACACCGGTCGAAATTATATCACGGGCTAATGTTTAAAGGTAAAATTCGTGAATCCGAAAATCGATAGACAGTATGAACACTAGGATCAGCAAGAAAATCAGACGAATTACAAGACAGGGCTATTTGCATCGAAAATTTTAGAAAAATTTGCTTGTGAGCTACAAGTCGACGGTCGAATAATATAGCTATAGCACTTGTCAATTTTTTTTTTTTTTTTTTTTTTTTTTTTAGAAAATATGTTCGTGAAATCTCATTGGCTATCTATTAGGTAACATTCTTTTTTGAAAAATTATAGTTTAAAAGTTTAACAAATCTAATACTGTAAATTGATTGATATTATTATTTCTTTTTATTATTATATTTTCAATTTATTATATTATATATATATAACTTATAACGCAATTATATATTTAAAGATAAGAATTTACTCTTTAGAAAATTCTTAGAATTTATTTTTAAAATATCATATTATCTAATTTATCTAATTATAAGTGATAAATCCCTTAATAAATTATTACTCAATTTAAAAACTTTTACCTATCATATTAAGCTTTAATTTAATGCTTTTTATAATAGTTCTTCATATCTATTTAATTCTTAAAAGATAAATTAAATAGATTGTCAAATTAGAAATAATTATAAGATAAATTTTTTCAAAGATTAAAAAAAAAAAATAATTCTATTTAGTATTAAAAATATTTATTAAAGAAAAATATTAAATATCTAGAATTCAAGATCTGTGGATCTATAGCATAGTGGTAGTGCTCCCAAGCTGCAATTATAAGGTCCAGAGTTCAATACCACATGAAAATCAAGTGAAAAATTAAGTCACAAGATGGTACAAAGATCTCATCTCCTCCATGATGATGATAAAGTGTCAGTGCAGTCTAGTTGAGTTCAGATAGTATTTTATGTTTAACAAGGCAAGTGGTTAAACTATCAGTAATGATTTTGGTAAAGATCTTTTTTTCTGCATCCAGAAATATTATAAATCTGATTATGTCGAGATTGTTTGTCCAATCTTTGGATTTGGGTATAGAGTATATGTAACATTTGTTCCATTCTTTGGATATTATTCCATATTGAATTATTAGATTAAAAATTGCACACAGTTCTATTTTTGCTTTGCCTTACAGATATTTGTATGCAATATAAGGAATTTGGTTTGGGCCAGGAACAGATTTTAAGCTACATTATGTGATTGTTTTTTTCAATTCTTGTATCAAAATGTTGTCAAGCATATCTTTGTAAAAGTGTTTCTTGATATATGGTTTAGGCTTGTATTCTTATAGCCAGTGTAAGTATTATGTAATGTCACTAATATTTCTGGGTAATGTCCAGTTGTAAAAGTGTTCTCGAACTTTGCCTTTAATGTCTGTTAGTTTAGAAAGGATCTTTATCTTATTTTAATTTTGTATGATTAACTTGTTAAGAAGTATTTGTTTTCTAGGTCTCTCTATAATGCTATCTATCATAGCTCTTTTATTATTGTTGAGAAACTCTTGTCTGATTTGGATCTTTTTTTTGATAGCTTGCACTTATCTTCTCTAGAAAATTGCTTTGGCAACAGTTTTGTGTGCTTTAATGTTGTATTTTATAACTTTGATCCAGTGTTGAATATATGAGGAGGGATTGTCAGTTTTTATTTTGTTTAGTATTATTGTTAGGTCTGAATGAAGTTTTTGTATATGGATAAGTGATTCAATTGACTGTAGAGTTTGATTCTCTGTTATCCCTATTGATAACTGCCTTAGGTGTATGAGAAATTTTTGCAATTGTATGAAGAGGGGACAGTTTCTGTATTGCTATAGTAATTTCTCGTCTTGTGATGTTTTTTCTTTTTAGGTATATGGTTTTTTGTAGTTTTTTATAGAATGTCACTAAACTAGTTCCATTTTTGGTTGATGTCTTAATTGTATGTATTTTTGATGAAAAGGTGATATTTTACTTGTTCGTTGAACTTTTTCCATTATTCAGTTGTGATCAGATATCAGTTTAGGTCGTGGTTAGAGGTGTGATATGAGGCTTGTTTAGGTCTATCTAGATATCAAACTTCCAATTCCATTATCATTGGGTTGTGATTACTTTGTATGAGAGATACTGTAGAATCTTGAATAGTGGCTATCCTAAATTGCTAGGTTGCTAAAGGATTTATCCATATTTGATTAATTCTGCTACTTAGTATGCCTCTATTCCTTGTATACTCATGTTTGATTGGATTGTGTTTTCTATATATATCCTCTAATCTATTGTCTAGTAGAATCTGTATATATTAACTTGAGGGACTGCACTTTTTAATCATCTAGTTATTGTTGTGTTTATCTATGGAAGGATTAGGGACTTCATTAAGATCTTCTAGTACCATAATATGTCAACCTTTTTTTGTTGCTTCTTGGATTCATTTAATGAAGGTGTTGATAACTGTACACTTTTCTCCTTTCATATCTTATGCTAGAAAGTATATTCCTATAATTCTCATTTTTTTCCTTATGTAGAAAAGCAAGGTCTATGACAATAAGTCTCCCAGCAAGTGTTTTGTAGTTGTATATCCTATAAGCTATTTCTTTATTGATCATTATGTTAAGACCTTGACTGATTGTTTGGAATTTCTTATGTATCCAGATAGTTTCATATTTTACATGTTGCCAATGTTTTGATTGGTGATATGAGTTGTTGGTTTCTGTAATAACTATGATATCACATTCTACTGAGCTACAAAAGTTAAACCATGTTTCATGTTTATGTATTTCTCTAGTCCTTATATATTGAGTGTAATAACTTTTCAGATAGGTTTATAAAGGTGTTTATTTGTCTGTATGGATTCTATTGCATATATTGATAGGTGGGTGCTGTTATCTATTATTGTATTTGTTGAATTTTGAAAGGTTTCTTCTTGACTTGGTGGTAGTATTGATATTAGGTATTTCTTGACATCATTTGTTTTTGATATTTGAATTACTTCTTATTATTGTTGATTTGAAGAGGTTTGTGTATTTCCTGAGAAAGAGTCAATAATTGCATTATACATGTGATCCATATTTTGATCAAGTTTTTGCATGGATAATTGAATTCATTGTTATTGGATATGGATATCTTGATTGTTGTTAATGAGACCTCTTCTATTGTTGGATTGTCTTCTCTTTCATAATATAATATTGTGTCCTCTTCCATGTGTTTGCCATATTCTTCATTATAAGTCTCAAGATTGGTAATGTATTCTTTTAGGTCTACAATTTCTTCTTTAATTTGTGTGATTTCTTGTTTGATTTCATTGAGGATGTTTAGGATTTGTACTAAGTTGGATTGAGGTGGCTGTTCCATTGTTTTATTTTCTCTTGATATTTTAACTGCTGCAGCATAAGAGTCCAGTCTGGTCTTGATATGTTTGTTAGTTAAAGTTTTCCATCTGATTATTTTGGTGCAGCTGATCTGAATCTATTATAAAGCTTATCAAATCTATTTGCTTATTATGTATTATAACAGTTCTATTGTTCCCTTCTTTCTTTAATGAGGTATTAGATAACTAGATATGTTGCGCTGTCACATATTGTACAGAGTTTTGTGTCAATTAATTTTTATTCAGTTTAGATTTCACCCAGGGTGAAGTTTTGTGCTATTGCATTCTCTAAATAATTCTGATTGTTGAATCTTACTATAGCAAAATACTTGCATTTGTATGACATATATCTTAGAATATAACATGTTTTTGCTTTTGTTTGTTCACATACAAATTTGAGATTGAAGGCTGTAGTATTGAAAAGAAGATTAGTCAATTTTACTGCAGTGTTTCCATATGCTTTCATTTGATTTATGTCCCATTGTGCATCAAAAATCCTGATTGAGTCTAATCACAATAGAATACTCCACTTGTTGATTAGATCTTCTTTTAATTATCAATTTGAATATATAATAACTATTGATTGCCACATTTGTTGTATTGATATGGAGATATTGGTGATCTCTCTATATTTGGCAAATGTTTGTTATACATCTATAAATTTAGTGTTCAGAGGGATGTTTCATACTCTGATACTCCTTTTTTTATCAAGTTTGATAGATGTAAAAGCCATGTGTTCTAGATGTGCATCTTCTATATTAAGTAAGATGTGTTACATGCTTATTTTGCAGTGGGGTAATCGCTGAAAATGGCAATAATATGTTTATCTTCTCCTTTTCCTTTGCTATAGGTAGAGAAAAGACCATTGTAAAAGTTGTGGCTTTTAATTATATATGCAATTTTTTGGCTGGTTGTTTTTCCTGGAATAAGGGAAACCTTGATTCCTGTTTTGACTCTTTCTCTGCCAAATTTATTGGTACTGTCAATAGAGGTTCTTGGTCTAGGCTTGCTGAGTTTGCTTGCCATTCTCTTGGTTTTAGGTGTGGCCTCTTATCACATTCCTTTATTTTGTTAACTGTCCTTTATGCTGTTGCTTAATTTTTCTATCTCTATATCAGAGTTTCTATTATCAGATATAAACTTTAGGGTTTCTTGGTTGTTATTAGATCCAGAAGTTGAGATATCCATATTTTCTAGATTTTTGTTTTTAGAGAATTTGATTGGATTGTTTTCTCAACTTGTTCACTCTATAAGGATTGTATCTTGTTGTTTTGTTGTTTTGTCTCAGTTTTTTA